TGGAAAAAAAAAAACTAATTCGAGAATAATCCGGGCCTTAAGACATTTTAACTGTGAAGGGATGAGGAAGCAATTCAAGTCTAAGCTATGTTTTGTCTTTTGTTTATCTGCTTTTTAAATTCTTAGCTAAATCTAACAGTCTGCCAAACAAATGATTTGCCATTTGCTAAAATTGCAATTCCACACAAACGAAGGTTTGTCATTTGGCTACAATCTTATTTCCAAACAAGCGAACAGTTCTTCTTTAGCTAAAATTTCATTGTCCCAAAGATGAATGGTTGTCTGCTAAAATTTTAAGGTTTACTCTTTCGATATAGATACCTAGTGGACACACATGGCCAATCAGCAGCTGGCCACTGATAAAGTTGCGTATATTTCGAACGGTCATACCGACATCAAAAACACAGATTAGTATATTTCATAAGTGACCTTTGCACATTGTTATCTGAGCTTTTAAAGTTTCAAATTAGGAAAACAGAATTGAAAAATCTGTGTAAATAGCGAAGAGTTCTTTTTCAAGTACCTCATAAAGGCGTGTCTTCAAAGGTTATGGAATGACTAGAATACAAGTCTACAATGAGTTCAACGATTCGACATGCTTGTCAGTAACTGAAGTATTATGGTCATACATATGGATAGTGTGTCAATCAAAAGGAAGAAGGAGATAACGCATACAAGATAAAATCCAACATACTGCCTATTCCGTTGGTTATTAATTCGCCTCTACAAATTCAAGGCTGATCTGGCAATTACAAGGACCTCATAGATGAGTTATTGAAGGAGAGTCCGTGTCGGTAAAGTGGGGCCAACCACTTCAAAATCCTTGACATAGTGCGCAACCTCCACTCACTGTGAAAGTTGAGATACGCGAAGATTTAGGGGGTTAAACTTTATTTTTAAAACGGAAGCTTCACTCCTGAAAACACACTTTACAGTTATAGGCCAGTCTTCGCTGAACGTGAATTTACATAGTTAAATGATGCATACCAAGGTGAGATAGGTCGATTTTAAGTTTCACATTAAGAACATAAAACTGCATTGTAAGTTATGCTTCTTTTTTAAGGTGCTCCAAAACAGCGCTCGTAAAGTGTTGTCGAATGACCTGGACGCACGTCTTCATTGAGCTAATGGAGTTTCCGACTGGCTGTAGGTAGCCAATCTTGTCTAACTTTTGTTGATCTTGGAGGACAATTTTAGTGTTGATGCTTAGGAAAAATTTGAACTGTTATTTATCGACACTTCCAATTCCAACAAGTAGATGCTCAGAAAATGATTTGAACTGTTATTTATCGATACTTATACGTGTCAATGCTCAGGAAAATATTTTAACTGTTATTTATCGATACTTCTTACTTGAACATTTTGATGTATTTTATGTGTTTGATAAGTGGAAACTAGTTGTGAGTAAACACGTACTTTTTGTTTTTGGTAAAAGCAAAGTTGAGCACCTCTATTTCAAAGACTGCACAACATTTGTGGTCGTCGCGGGGGTTATAGAGGGCTTGCAAATACCTCTTGAACAGGAAACAGTAGGTTGTGGTCGTCACGATGGGTGTAGATGTTAGGATTGGGGGCTGAAGTTAACCTTTATCATGACTCTGTCTTGTAAATCGTATGAAATTACAATAACTATGGACATCTCAATCACTAGAAATTTAATGCATTTGTAATCGGTTTCTGCTGGGGGGGGGTTTAAATACTTTTTTTGGGGTTAATTTTGGAACGTCTTCGATTGAATGTCTTTTCTGTTGTAAGAATTGTCTTCGTAATTGGTTGATTGCAAATGCTGTACACTTCCCACCGACACAAGTGAGATGAAAACCATAAACAATCATAGATATAACTTATAGTAAAATAGGTACAGTTTAGATACAATAGGAGATGGGTTGTTTCGACCCTAACCCTGCCATTCAATTCCATCCCTGGCTGGGTGGGACATAGCAAAGATAAAAATTTCCCCCACTCGGAATCGAACTCATGTCGGCTGCGAGCAACGGAGAAGAACCTACGTAGTGTACTACATCACTGACGCCTATGTATCTCTACTTTTTGTCTGTTTGCATACACATATTACACAAATTATATTTCAGGATCGGTATTAACATAATAGGCACTCATAGAAATATTTCGGTGAACGTACATTTGCAAACCCTCACCCGCCAATTAGAACTTACTTGCTCTGGTTTCTGCAGTCGCCACTCTAAGAAAGTGGGTGGTTATCTGGTGCTTTTGAGTAGGTTTGCTCCTTCTTTCATATAGACATTCAATCGTCCTGATCTCTCCTCTTTTTTTGTGTCTGTTACTCTCGGGTAACCCCTCTAATCTTCTGGACCCACGTGACATTATTGAGCACCAAGTGCCGTAAAACTCTTACTAAAAATGTAAGCTCCCCGAAAGGCCACATATCAGTCGTTATGTCGTCAACGTGAAATACGCTTTACTTTAAGCATATTGACAGGGTGGGGGATCCAGAGACCTTTAATCATTTCACTTTTTTAAATCATGCAAAGTAAGTGCATCAATCATTGTTCATTGTACATTGTACTTAAAAACTGAATGTAAACCTGAAACTGCTACTTAAGTATGTAAAATGTTGTGGTTTTTCCCTGTTTTCAATAGCAACATTTGAAGTCTTGTGATCCAGATTCTATAGAATTGTTGTTGTTTTTTTAAACTCTCATTAGTTCAGAACATAGATAATACGAATGGTTGTTGTTGTTGTTTTTGTTGTTGTTGTTGTTGTCTTTATTTCCCCTCCTTTTTCCTCGTATGTGTCTCTCTAGATCTAGTAACTCCTCAAATCGTCGGCATTTATACGATCTTTTCGTGTTGCAAGTGCCGCAAAACTCTTTCTAAAACTAAAAACAACAAAATGAACTAAACAAACACTTATTATGATTTATTTGGTCTTAACACGTTTTTAAAAAGTATCTTAGCATTTTTCAGGCTGTATGTCCAGTCTCGATGTTTTGTCTGTAATTTTATTATCATTATTGTTGCATTGTGGGAAAGGAATAAAAGATGACGTGACTACAATTTGTCTTCTTTTCTTATTATGTATGTGTAAGCTTTTCTCTAGACCAACTTTAGAATTACAATATTTTATCTGCTCACCGCTCAGTACCTGGTTCTGAGAAATCTGACATAAAAAGTGTTGATTTTTACTATATATGTCAAGCATTTTCGAATGCATTTCTTCGAATATCTTACGATTTTGATACAGCAGATACATTTCTTTTGTTTTCCGACCTCATGGTCTAAGCACCTTGAAACGGCCAGAAATGTCAGATAGAACTCTGTAATTCTGAGGTGATGTTTTGTCATTGTAAACCAAGTTAGTTGTAAAAAGATTGTATTGTTTTTCGCCCCATAGCTGGTGATTGGAGGACGCTACTGGTAGGTTCTACTTTTTTACTTTGCCTCTGCTGTTTCTGTCTCTCAGTCTACTGTCTTACTATTTACCCGGCACTGAATGATCCTTATTGTGTTGATACGCTTCTTTTTATTCAAGCAAACAAAGACCGTTATTGACACACTCTTGATCATTAAAATTTAAGAGGTAGGCTGCTTCAACTCTGTTTGCCAAGGCCAACCTGGAGAGAATGAGAAACCCATCCCAACGGACAGGTGGAAATGCTAGTGAAAACTTTTTCAAAGGGGGAGGGGGGATGTTGTTCAATACAACGCGAGCTGAGTGTTGCCTATAGTACATACTCCAGTTTCCGATTTCTCTGAGTTTTATCACAGCTGTCGAAGTTGTTGAAAAATCTTTCTTTTGAGCCCAAAATTACCTGGTTTAATGCTCTAGTCCCGTAACGTTTTTGTTTCATTTTATACCAATTCCCATTTTTGAGACTGAAATTATGATTTTGAGACCAAAAAAGGGAGGGAGAAAAAGAAAGAGAGAGGGACAGAGAAAGAAAGGAACAAGGAAAATAGATTTTAAAAAGAGACAGGGAGAGGGAGATCGAGAGAGAGAGAGAGAGAGAGAGAGAGAGAGAGAGAGAGAGACAGAGACAGAGACAGAGACAGAGAGAGACAGAGACAGAGAGAGAGACAGAGAGACAGAGAGAGAGAGAGAGAGAGAGCCAGAGAGAGAGAGAGAGAGAGAGAGAGAGAGAGAGAGAGAGAGAGAGAGAGATTAGTTTACGTATAAACAGGAAAAGTGGACCTTGTACAATATAGCACTGAGCTCAAAAGAAGCACGCCGATACACAATTCGTCTTTTGGTGCTTGGGAAAAAAAGATAGACGGACAAGAAAGACAGACAGTAACAAAAAAAAGCAACGACAAGAAGTAGAACTGTGATGGTCTTCTTGTTTAGTTAAGTTGTAGTAAGCGTTTTATCGAACAACAACACAAACAGGACATGTTATATTTGCCGAAGATTAAAAGTGCTACTTCTGGAGTAATATGCAAAGAAAAAGAGGCGAGATAAGGACAATTGGTATGTGACAGGAAAAGAGTAGTAACCCAAACCAACCTAGAGTCTTTTAGTGCATTGGAATAAAATAACAAAGGCAGAATGGACAGACATGAAAAAAAAATCAATGCATAGGAAATAGGAAGGACTGTTGGCGCTATTTAACCAAATACAATACTTTTTGTCATATAAAAAAAAAACACCAGACCATTATGAAGGTCAAGATTTTGGGGGCAAGGTTAAGGGTAGACAATTCATATACCAGTGGACTGACGACATCAAACTATTTATAGTGAGGGCTGTTAACGACAAAATTGTACGAGAAAAGCGATCGACAGTAAACAGTGGCGGGTTGTTTCACGTCAATCTCAGAGCCAGAGATGACACATCTAGGTTTCTCCAGGTACAATGAGCAGTAGTTTTCATTTATACCTAGTGCACATTGTCAGTCAGATCAATGGGGTTTAAACGTTGCCAACCAGATTTTTTCTCGTGGTTGAGAGAAAGATACCTTTTCTTTTTCTTTTATTTTTAAAACAAACTTTAAAACTATTTTTGGAAATGTAATTTTTTTTTAATTAAGAGGTTTTTTAATTATTACTTTGTAAAAATGTATTCATTTAAATATTTCTATTCTGTCTTATCTTGTTTTATCTTATTTTTTAAAATGTATTTTTTTAAAATCATAATGTGTTTTTAAATTATTTTTTATTGTATTTTATAATTTTTTAAACAATCAATTAATTACTTCATTAATTAATTAATGTATTAATGTTTTTTGTTCGTTTGTTTGTTTTTTAATTAATTGTTTGTTTTTTTGTTTTTTTTTGTTTGTTTTTGTTGTTGTTGTTGGTTGTTGTTTTGTTTTTTTTTTTGGGGGGGGGGGCATAATTCCATAATTCGACCGATTCGACACGTAACCTTGACAAACAAAAATGTCTGATTTTGAAGACCTCAGTCAAATAGTGTTGCATTCGGTTACATTGCGCCAAAATTATAGGGTTTTTGTCGTCAACCATGAAGGAAAATCTGGCTGGCCACGACTCAACCCGCTGAATCTGACAGGTAGAGTGCACTGGCCATTAGCACTGACTATAAGCATACACAAAGAAGCGCCCCTGCTCTTTATGTCGTGTCAATTGTTTATTTTTCTCTAGACATTTTGCTCGTGGGATTCCAATAGACATACCCATCATGTGATAATGAAGCGCTAATGACGTTGTTTACGTCACGGAGCCAGAAAGATGGTCTAAATCCTCGAGTTGACCTGATTTGCCAATCCGAATATTTCTTGACACAGATGTGGTGAATCCGAAGTCTGAATTCCAAATTCCAGTTGCAAAGTTTAATTGCTAAAAATATTGTAACAGTGAACGTTTTAGATCCCCCATCGACACAAATTAAGTCATTTACGGTTGGTTCGGCAATGATAGTGCATCGTGTTGGGAGCAGTGGTGGTGGGGGAGGGGGGGGGAAATCAACATCCTACAGATAGATAGAGATTCAAGATTTTTTTAAAGGACAACCCCCCCCCCTCGTCAAATCAGAATTCAAGGTAATGTCGTTTACGTGCAGATACAAAGAACCTTACCTCTACACCTCAGATGAAGGTCATCTAATGTTTCAAAAGATGCAATATAGATGCAGGTCACATTCGGGTTAATTCTTATCAATTCACTACTCTGCTACGGACTCGAAATAGAGCACAGTTCACAAAAGGGTTCAAGGTTAGAAGATTGTCTACGTCCAAAGAACTTAAATGAACCCATTTTTTAAACATTTTTAAACCTTTCTTTTGTAACATTTTCCTGACAAAAACGTTTTAAAACATTATGTACTACCGAATCACATTTTAAAGGAAAAGCCTTCATGAACAATTGCGTGTTTGCCTAAAGAAAGGTACAAAAAGTCGGATTTTTGTCCATTTTAGGTTTTTGAGTTCAAAACTGAACATAGTGGTTTAAAAAAATTATCTCAAGTAGTCTTTGAGACATTGCACATTTTGTGAGGTAGGGTATAAAGATCTAATTTTGAGAAAATTAGCTTTTAAGTTTAGGATACTTACAAACTTGAAAAAAACAACAATGATTCAATCGTTTCTAAGGTAATTTTTAAAACGGAAAATTCATTTCCAATTTGGCATTCAGTTGACATCAATATCATGATTAGAATTAAACGGTAGAACGTAGCGGGGAAGAGAAAACATGCTTCCAGAATAGATTGTAACACCTTCAAAAGCAGTTTTCGTTATATCTTTAAAAGATGCGCTAGTCTGAAAATTATTCAATATAAAATACTTAGAAGTCAAATCAATGAAAACCCTTTTAACACATTGTTAAAAATGGTGTGACTATTATTTTTCATGGAAACACATTTTCGTCAAAAAAAGGATTTTTATCATTATCAGCCTGTAGCTCAATATTCTCTGTGGCGACTTTTTGTACTTTTCTTTAGGCACACACACAATTGTTCATTCCTTTTTCGCCGATTCGAGGAATTCGAACTAACTGTACATTTGCCAAATACTCAATTTCGAACTGAATCCACATACAGCATATAGATATATACTGAAAGCCATTAAAAACGCAACATTTCGTTCGCATAGTCTGAACACGCTTGTATCACATGAATATAGATTAAAAGAAGTGTTTTTTGAATTTCCAACAAATGTGAACCATTTTGATCGCACACTTAAATGATTTCAATACATTGTCCTTCTTCGCTCGGCATACCCCCTTAAGACAAATTTGCAGATAAACACAAATCGAAGCTCAATAAAGACCTCTTACCCGAAGTACTCGTAAATTATATGGCCATCATTAACATTCAAGCAGACCAAAACTCTTACTCAAATGGATTTTATAACATTTTCAATGTTTTGTTGAGATATTCTGTCCCACTTTCGCGGCTGCGCTATCTTCCAAAAGCTGCAGATGCGCATATTGGTACCCACTTTGCAGTTCAGTTCATCCCATACGTGCGCTGTTGGAGACCTGTCGGGTACGGACACTGGTCAGTTCCTGACATTCATGTTATGATCTTCCAGGAACTGTGTGGTTTGTTTTATGGGCAGTGTAAGGGCAGGAGTGTCGTGTTGGATGACTGGGAGATTCTGATTGGTTCTTTGTGCTGTTTGGCACCAGGAAGACGGCGCTGTTATTGCGGCTTGGTTGATTGTAGTCCTAAATAAGGCGTTCTTGATCTTAATCCTGTACTTACTGCTCCGTGCCTCACACAGATGAAAGAAACATTTTCAAGCACCATATGCATGTCTTGAGCTGCTACTTTTGAGGAAAATTGAACAATTTCGCAGATGCGACAGCGAAATCTGCCTCTCTTGAACATGGCTGGTCACTCGAGACTGTCCTATTCTTTGCACATCCCGGACATTTTAAGTGTTCTGTAATCTTTGTGTAAGTCGAGAACAATACACTCACTGCATTTCAGTCGTTTGCTGCTTCTCAGGAAGATTTTCCGCCATGAACAAGTCAGAAGCGAAATTGCAATCAGCTTCGCTAAGTTGAGGAGTCGTGTAATGAAAGAAGAAAAAAATTGGAAAAAAGCTAGGACTTTTGTTTGGAATGAGCTCTGGGTCATCTTCCAGGTTAACGAT